TGTGTGTGTGTGTGTGTGTGTGTGTGTGTGTGTGTGTGTGTGTGTGTTTCAGAAGACTGGGACATTCTTAATTTTATCTCCAACCTTTCACATAAATCTCCTTTGATAACATATTCTTAGCTAATTACCTTTCCATAAGCAACTGGTGTTCGGGCCATCAAAGAACTATGAAGCCAGCAAGAGTATCTAAGGCTGTGTTCAGTACCAAATAGACTAATTTTGATGGTCAGGGTTTTTTAAATAAAATTTCAGAAATAACAACCCACCCGCTGAAAGTGAAATGATGATTGTAACCTTTGGCACAACTATATGCCTTTTCTTTATAAAGAACTAAAATTCACCCTGAAAATGCCATTCTGTGAATAAGACAGGTGTGGGCATCTGATTTCTGCCAAGCCAAAACTTACTTAAAAGTAAAACGTGTGGAATGCCTGGGTGGCTCAGTTGGTTAAGAGGCTGCCTTCAGCTCAGGTCATGATCCCAGGGTCCTGGGATGGAGTCCCACATCAGGCTCCCTGCTCAGCGGGGACCCTGCTTCTCCCTCTGCCTGCCACTCCCCCTGCTTGTGCTCTTTCTCTGATAAATAAATAAATAAATAAATAAATAAATAAATAAATAAATAAATAAAATCTTTTAAAAAAATCAAAGTAAAACGTGTATTTTCACAAGACTTTGCTGTCACCTTTCCATCTCCTCTGTCTTAATCTCACTTGCAAACCTGCCTGATAATGTCCGAGAGCAAGGCCTGCCCTGGACATTTATTCTCTGAAGGGCTTCAGGAATTGGAGGATTGATGAGCCAAATGCCACCCTCACTCCCGACCCCCGCCCTTGGTATTTTACAGGTTATTTCTTAGGGAAGCTGAGCTCTGTTTATTGATATCCCCTTCTCCACGGGCTAGTGTCATATCACAGAGAGAGCTCCCAGGTGAAAAGGGTTTTGCTAGGGGAATGCAGGATAGTAGCGTCTTCTCCCCAGCAAGAGCAGAGGAGGCCCAGATTTGAGCCCAAGTCAAATCCGCTGGGGCAGCATCCGGAATAAAAACAGCGTGCTAACACCAAGCACAGTCGGCAGTTATAAAGCGGCCTTATACGGAAACGGGGCAGCACCGAACGAAAAGAAAGGAAAACAGGGAGGACACGGTCAAAGGAAAGCTTTGCAGGTCTCGGTCCTAGGTAGGTTTAAACTAAGGAGGTATTAGGGGAAACATCTGTTTTCAACCCAAGTTACCCGCGAACTTTTTCCTGGAGAGAAGCTCCCAGAGCAATTTACAGCATTCCAGCCTGAGGCTTTCGTGCCAGACGCTCTGAATAAACCTTTAGAAACCGAAGCTGCCGGGGAGCACCGGGAGTGTGCAGGGGAGGTAGCGCCTCCAAAGACCTCCGCGCCGGCGACAGAAAGCGAACCTCAGGCTGTGTGAACGTTCCTGCTTCCTCGCAGCAACCCGCGCCTACAGCGCACTGCAGGCCACCCTCCCCTTCCTGGGAGCGGCCGCGCGCGCTCGGGAGGGTCGCGTACTGGCGGCTTGAACCCTACCCGAGCCCTCGGCGCTCCGAGGAGGCAGGAGGCGGTTTGGGTTTGCGCAGAACTTCGGGAGACTCCAAAGAAATGCTAACCCCATATCTGAGAGGCGGGGAAAAGGTGCCCAGGCGCCTGGGTTTCGGGGTTAGGAGCGCAGGGGTAGAGGGCTCAGGTCGGGCCCGAGGACCGCGCGGCCGATAGGGGGCGTCCTGTCACTGCGGAAGCCGGTGGCGAGCGCTCCCGGGTGCGTCCGGATACCGACCACCAACTCTGGCGAGAACTTGCAAGGTTCGCTCTTTAGGAAGGTAGCACTTCTTCCTCCCGCGGACCTCCTCTCCAGGTCCCTCTCGCTCCTTTTGCTCGTGGAATAATTTCTAGAACCATAGTTTCGATCTGGAACAAAAAGAAAAGGCAGTGGAACACATACATATATGCACAGATTAGGTTAACCAGAATGTGCGATTCCATACGCACCAGAAAGCTCTCTGTCCTTGTTTCGCAGGTTTGTCTGTTTGGACGTCTCTCTCTCTCTCTCTCTCTCTCTCTCTCTCTCTCTCTCTCTCTTTTTACTGAATTTGAGAAGAGCTCCTTGGCGGGTGGGATTGACAGTGTGTTTTGAGGTGTGTGTGTATGTAGGTAGCTGGTCCTGGGCCTCTGCAGAAAGCTTTAAAAAAACAAGTAACTTACCTTTTCAGCACCAGTGCGCACCCCTCTTCCCCAAGCCCTGGGGAGAACAGTTAACTTGCTCCCCTCATGCTCTGAGACCCAGTGAGAGATGCAGGGAATCTGGTCCCTTTGGCTCCCCAGCACACACTCCCCAGCACAAGGTGTATACTCCCCAGCACAAGGTGTATACACCCCACAACACACTTCCCAGGTGCACTGGGCCTGCCGGCCTCTCCCGGGAGCCCTCCGCGATGCAAGTGACTTTCAAAGCCACGCAGATTTTAGATTTGGGGGATCCTGCCCTGGCACTGTCTAGGTGGGGTTCATTAACCCCCTCACTATGAATGGGTCAAACCCAAAAATGGGTCAAACCGTTTGAGGTTCAGCACAAAAGGTGGTGCCAGTGACTGCATCTGGTTCAAAGTGATGCAGGCCTGAGATACCTGGGGAAGCGGGAAGGGGTGGTTTCCCTGCATAGACTGCTCTTCTTGCTGTCCTTCTGGACTGACCCTCATACAGTCTTTCCATTCTCGGTGCTCAGCTCAGGGCCTGCCACCTAGCCCCTGTCTTCTGGCACCATTACCCATCACGTCGGACAGGTGCGCCAGATACCCACGATTTCCTATTTGTTCTTTATCTCTGAGATGGGGGCACAGGGCTGGATCCTCATGGCCCAGCCTGTTTTTAGAACCAAGAAAAGAAGTCCACATCAAACACCTGAAATACCCCAAAACCCTGCAATCTGGGCTCATTAGGGTGTTGATAGCTGGCCCAGGAAAGATGATAATCTGAACCCAGAAGCTGGAGCAAAAATAAAAAGGAAGTATATGATTGCGGGGCTTCTAATTCTTATAAAAGAGCCCCTCAAAAAAGCAGAGAACAGAGACCCTCCTGAAGTAAATTCCATGTGTCCCATTATTGATTCCTTTATTCCCCTCTCTCCTCCCGCCTCACCCCCCACCTCCTGTCCTGTTTGTTTTAGTTACGAAATGCTGTGGGCACCTCAGTTGTGACTGCAAAGTAACCTTGAAACACGGCGTCCTGAATGTCAGAGACAAATAGCAGTCTCCCAACCGTCGACTGCAGCTGGCGGGGCCGCGTGCGCCCTGTGCTCGGCGATCGGACAGTGGTCTTGCCCGACAGCCACCCCTCTGCCCGTCGTCGGAGGCTGGGCTCAGAGGAGGCGAAAGCCGCGACGGCCGGACCAGGCGCTCCCCGAACGCCTTCCGGAGGCTCTCCGGGTCTTAACTATAACAGGGAGGGGCCTCCCAGGAGCAGCGGCAGGCGAGTTCAAGGTGTGTACAGTTTTTCTAAATATGACAGCGCTTTGCAAATTGGCTCTGTCACCGTCTTGTTTTGACAGGGAATGAGCACTGAGAGCGAAGAAACCCGGGATGAGTAAATGCGGCGTTTCTAAGGCTCTGCGGAGGGGCAACCTGGCGCCGAGGCCGGGCGCGCCCTCGGACAGGCGCACCAGGCGCCGGGCGCTAGGGGACCGGGCGGGGGTCAGAGCCTTGGGCCGCTCCCGGGGTGCCTTCCTCCCAGGTCGCTCCTCCCACGGGCCCTCCCTGCGCGCGCGGGGGGAAAGGGGGCTGGAGCAGGAAGCCTGCGCGCCCACTCGCCCCGCTTGCCTGGCCTGGTACTGGTCTGGGGCGCGGCGGCAGTGGGGCGGGCGCCGGGCGCCGAGGGGCAGGTGCCGGGCGCCTGCCGAGGCTCCCTCTCACCTAGGTGTGAGCTGATTATTCAAATGGGCTGCCCCGGGTCTGGGGATTGGAGGCCCGCGCCGGCGCGCCGCGCTATATCACCAGCCGCCCACGTCACTGCGGCACTTGTCCGCTCCGCGGTCTACACCTCCTCCTCCTCCTCCTCTCCTCCTCCTCCTCCTCCTCCACCTCCTCCTCCTCTCCTCCTCCCTCTTTCCACCCCCCCACCCGCCCCCGCGCCGCGCGCTTCCCGCCGCCTCCCGGCAGCTCGCACTGCCAACCTCGGCCTCCGCCCGGCAGCCCGCAAGCGCGGCGGCGGCGGCGGCGGCGGCGGGCGGCGGGCGGCGGGCGCTCCCTGCAGCGGGGCTCGGGTCCGGGCCTCCTCCCATTCTTGGCCCCCTCCTCCCGTGGCTGACCCCTCCCGCCCATTCCAACTACCGCCTCCGGCCGGCCAAGGAAGAAAGAGGGAGTGGAACCGGAGAGAGGGAGTGCGAGAGAGGGAGGGAGGGGACCGTGCCTTGGCTGACTTTTTTTTTTTTTTAAAGAGGGTGGGGGTGGGGGGTGATTGCTGGTCGTTTGTTGTGGCTGTTAAATTTTAAACTGCCATGCACTCGGCTTCCAGTATGCTGGGAGCGGTGAAGATGGAAGGGCACGAGCCGTCCGACTGGAGCAGCTACTATGCCGAGCCGGAGGTAGGCACTCGCCTTTTCCAGGGGGAAGTGGGGTGGTGGCGTTCGCACTGTTCCCCAACCTCAGGACCGCTTCCCTCGCCGGCACCCGCCCCCCACCCCCAGCCGCTCTGGGCAGCCGCCTTTTCCACCCTCCTTCGACTCAAATGGGTCTCTTTTTTATACGACACACTGTTAGCCTTGAGATAATATTAACTTTGTGATCAAATATTGACTTGCGGCGCCTCCAAATCCTCTTCGTGGCCGAGCCACGCACTATCCTAACAGAGTTATGTTTGGCAGCGCGCGGCTGGGGAGGGGTGGGAGGTCGGCCGGCGAGGGGGTGGGGAGCTGGAGAGAAGGTGGGTAGGAGTTGGGGGCTGAGGTAGAGGCAGATTCAAAAACTAGGGACAAAGAGAAAGGAAGTTTGTGGCTGCAAAGCCCAGCCGCGTGTAGTTCAGTTCTCGGTCTCCGCGTAGTTCAGTTCTCGGTCTCCTCCCTGCCCCTCCACTCAATGCCTCCAGCTGGCCCCAGACTCTAAGCAGGCACTGGGTTTTGGTTCCCCTGGGGCCAAGGATGGGGTCCCGAGAGTAAAGATGAACAGAGAGGACCCTGGGACAATCTCCGCTTAAGGCCGCCAGGGCGCCCTAGGCTGTGACCCACAGGTTGTTCACTTGGGTCGGAGGTGGCATCCGAGGCCGCGGCGCGGACTCGGTGTGCTGGCCTGAGAGTTGGGGAAAGGAGACGCATTTGGGGTGCCTGGCTTAGGGGTACTCCGGGGGACCCTTGCTTTAGAATCTGAGCACGGAACAGAAGGGCTAGGATCCGGCTCCATGCAAACTGCCGCAGCCAGCTTGCCACCTCCTCGAGGGCTATCCGGGCGCGCTCCGGGTGAAACTGACTTGGTGTCCGGGGCCGGGGCGGGGGGCGGGGGGAGCAGACGAGGGAAGGACTCTCCAGAGACCTCCCCGCAGGCGGGGGCTGGGCTAGCCCGGTGGGTAGGAGGTCAGGGCACGCTCTAGTTTCGGTGCTAACCCTGTGCGCCTCCCTCCCTGGGCTCTGTCCGCAGGGCTACTCCTCCGTGAGCAACATGAACGCCGGCCTGGGGATGAACGGCATGAACACGTACATGAGCATGTCCGCGGCTGCCATGGGCAGCGGCTCCGGCAACATGAGCGCCGGCTCCATGAACATGTCCTCGTACGTGGGCGCGGGCATGAGCCCGTCCCTGGCCGGCATGTCCCCCGGCGCGGGCGCCATGGCGAGCATGGGCGGCTCAGCCGGGGCGGCCGGCGTGGCGGGCATGGGGCCGCACCTGAGTCCCAGCCTCAGCCCGCTCGGGGGACAGGCGGCCGGGGCCATGGGCGGCCTGACCCCCTATGCCAACATGAACTCCATGAGCCCGATGTACGGGCAGGCAGGCCTGAGCCGCGCGCGCGACCCCAAGACGTACCGGCGCAGCTACACGCACGCCAAGCCGCCCTACTCCTACATCTCGCTCATCACCATGGCCATCCAGCAGAGCCCCAACAAGATGCTGACGCTGAGCGAGATCTACCAGTGGATCATGGACCTCTTCCCCTTCTACCGGCAGAACCAGCAGCGCTGGCAGAACTCTATCCGCCACTCGCTATCTTTCAACGACTGCTTCCTCAAGGTGCCCCGCTCGCCCGACAAGCCCGGCAAGGGCTCCTTCTGGACCCTGCACCCCGACTCGGGCAACATGTTCGAGAACGGATGCTACTTGCGCCGCCAGAAGCGCTTCAAGTGTGAGAAGCAGCTGGCCCTGAAGGAAGCCTCAGGCGCCACGGGCGGTGGCAAGAAGGCGGCCGCGGGGGCCCAGACCTCGCAGGGCCAGCTCGGGGAGGCCGCCGGGCCGGCCTCCGAGACTCCGGCGGGCACTGAGTCGCCCCACTCGAGCGCCTCTCCGTGCCAGGAGCACAAGCGAGGAGCCCTGGGGGAGCTGAAGGGAACGCCAGCCGCGGCCCTGAGCCCCCCGGAGCCGGCGCCGTCGCCGGGGCAGCAGCAGCAGCAGGCGGCAGCCCACCTGCTGGCCCCCCCCCATCACCCAGGCCTGCCGCCCGAGGCCCACCTTAAGCCGGAGCACCACTACGCCTTCAACCACCCTTTCTCCATCAACAACCTCATGTCCTCGGAGCAGCAACACCACCACAGCCACCACCACCACCAGCCCCACAAAATGGACCTCAAGGCCTACGAACAGGTGATGCACTACCCTGGCTACGGTTCCCCAATGCCGGGTAGCCTGGCCATGGGCCCGGTCACGAACAAAGCGGGCCTGGACCCCTCGCCCCTGGCGGCAGACACCTCCTACTACCAGGGAGTATACTCCCGGCCCATAATGAACTCCTCTTAAGAAGACGGCTGGAGCGGGCTAGCCTGGGACAAGGACAAGAGAGAGGAAGTGGGGCGGAGAGTTTGAGGAAGGGGTGTTAGCGGGATCCAAGGGAGAAGATATCCATTACATCCCCACCCCCAGGACAGCAGTCTCCCCTCACCTTCGGCAGCTCTCCCTCCCAAACAGAGGGGCCACACTGATATCTGTTATTCTATATAAGGAGGGAAGGCAAAAAGAGAAATAGTCAAAAACAAACAAACACAGAAAAGAGGAAGAAAAGAGCAAAAAGCCTCCTGTTTCCACTACTGTGTAGACGCCTGCTTCTTTAAGCATTTGAGAGTTCTGATTTTTTGTTGTTGTCTTTCTCCTCCAGTGCTGCTGTTGCAGGGAAGTCTTACTTTATTAAAAAAAAAAACAAAAAAACAAAAAACAAAAAAACCAACAAAAACAAAAAAAAACAAAAACAAAAAAAACCCACAAACTTTTGTGAGTGACTCAGTGTAAAACCATGTAGTTTTAACAGAGAAGCAGAGTTGTACTATTGTTTAAAAAGAAAAAAAGATGTAAGGGTCTGTTGTAAATGACCAAGAAAAGAAAAAAAATGCATTCCCATTCTTGACACGGTGAAATCCAGGTCTCGGGTCTGATTAATTTATGGTTTCTGCGTGTTTTATTTATGGCTTATAAATGTGTGTCCTGGCTGAAAGGGCCAGAGTTCCACAAATCTATATTAAAGTGTTATTGCCAGTTTTACCCCTTGAATCTTCAAGATTTTTTTTTTCCCTTTGCCTGACTTGAAAAATAAACAGGTCCAGAAAGTATTTAAAAGTGTGGGGAAGGGGATCCTGGCCGGTTGCTGATTTCATTTTATTTTGGTGAAGGGGAGGCATGATGGCTGTTGTTTTAACATTTTATTATTAAAACTTTCAGACACACTGAAGTTGAACAGATTTTACAGAAAACACAGATGTACCCATTGCCCAGATCCAACAGTTATTGTTTCACTATACTTGTTATATCACATATCTGTCCAGCTATTTACACCTCTGTTCATCAATTCAGGTTATTTTTTCTAAATGCATTTCAGATGCTATCAAGCGCATTCAGAGTAGTATGGCCATAGACCTAAACGCATTTCAAAGTAAATTTCAGACGTCAGTACACTTCCCCCTAAACACTTCAGCAAGCACATCATTAAATAGAAATTGATATTATTTATGATTACTTTTGGAGGTTTTTTTAAAAGATTTTTATTTATTTATTTGACAGAGAGAGACACAGAGAGAGGAAACACAAGCAGGGGAGCAGGAGAGGGAGAAGCAGGCTTCCCGCAGAGCAGGGAGCCCGATGTGGGGCTCGATCCCAGGACCCTGGGACCATGACCTGAGCGGAAAGCAGACACTTAATGACTGAGCCACCCAGGCACCCCACTTTTGGAGTTTTGAATTTATCTTTACACACAATGAAACACACATCCAAGGTGGACCATTCCCTGGGTTTGATGCAGGTTTAGCTTTAAAGTAGGGAGAAAACTATATATCTTAATTTCCAATCTGGGTCATGTGAAGTTACAATGTAGTTGATGTCTCTTGGGCCCCAGGGGGCTGACTTCTCTGGGGAGAAGCCTGGATTTACTGTATTTTCCAATCTTAGGCCTCCCTTCAAGTCAGTGAGCCCAGACTGGATTTGCAAATTCCTGTTACAGCACTTTCATCTCTGCTTCTCTGGCACCCCTTTACCCTCCTGTGGAATCAGAACTCTTGCCTGGATCCTACAGCCTCAGGTCTCTGTCTACACTCCACCACCCTATCCTACCCTCCTCCTTTACTTAGGTGTTTGCCTCGGCAGTCCTAGCTGTAGCCAGAGAGCAGTGAGGCTTCTGGGACCACCTCCTCCCACTCCAGCACCTGATCTGGAGAAACAGACCTTCTTCTGGTGGTGTTTAAAGGGATCGCTCAGGGTGATGGTCCAAATCTCTTTTTAAAAAATAAGGTATATTTGGGGATGAGGTGGAGATAAGGGGGTATCTTGCGCTGCTTGTCCAGTGACCCTGGCCAGTAGTGAGAGCCCAGGGTCTGCAGATGTGCTTACTCCGCCTCCCCACAAACACCGCCGCCTTTGGACAGCATTCAGTTAGCCCAAGTTGGGGAGCCAGGATTGCGGGGCCAAAGGGTATGAGGAGGTATTTTGTGAGCCTTAAAAGAAAAATCCAAAAGCATAAAGAAAGACCCAGAATAGATTTTTACAAATCTTGCTGTATCTCCCTACAGATGGCGTAGCCTCCCTAAATAGGCAGCCAACCGAACTGGAGACCCCAGAGGCGAAGTGGGGCCTGGGAGCGCAAAGGGGGCCCGGTTTTGACTTTGCCTGGGGCATGTGCAGGCCTACAATCTGGCGGGGCGAGGGCAAGAGCCACTGTCCCCGGCAGATTTAGGGATGAACCGTGCACAGCTATCTTAAGGTGGGCGGTTATTCTCCGCAGGCTTCTGAAGCTGGGACTTTTTGTCTCAAAGTTTCACAGCTCAGGACCCTGTTTTCAGGGACTAGAGTTTTGGGCTTATTGACCATCCAAACCAGGAGTGTCCCAGGTTCGTCCCAACCCTGGAGACCCCCCCCCCCCGCCCGCTTCGCCCTCTGCCACCTTGCGGGGTCTCTGCCTCCTCAAGCCCAGGCCTTCCCACGCGCTTGAGGGGGTTTGCCCCCCCCTCGCGTCCCCCCCCCCCCCCCCCGTCTCCAAATCCCTTTTTAACATGCCACATTGTCCCAGGAACACAGGGAAGAGAAATTGGGGCGGGGTGGGGGTGGGGGGGATCCGGAGGCCGCAGCCAGCAATCAGGCCCGTCTCTCCCCCTGGCAAGGACACACACGTCGTGAGCCCGGCCTGAAATGTGTTTCATTATCACATAAAAGGCTCCCGTGGCGAAGGAGCCGAGAGGCAGGGCCGGGGGCCGAGTGGGGGACAATGGAGGCTGAAAGCGCTGCCCTAACCTGCTATGTTTCGTATCGCACGCCCATTGTGCGAGGGTCGTTTTAAACTACTTAGCGCTCCCCCCCTCCACTGATCCCGGCCGATAAGATATAGTTCTGTCCGAATACATAAAAAGGATGTCGGGGAGCCGGGCGCTTTCGGAGGCTTTTCTGCGCTTCTTGTGTCTTTCACACACACCGCCCCCCCCCCGCCCGCCTCAGCCCCCTCCCCCAGCCGGGCTCCAAGCTCCCTAGCTCACAGATCGTCCTCCGCCCGCTTTCCCCAACTCTTAAGTATTGTAGGGTGCGGCGTTTCTTTTTTCCTCCCTCTCTCTCTTTTTCTTCCTTTTCCCCCGCGCCGTCCGCGCGTCGGTTTAAGCAACCCTGATCTGTGAATAAACAAAGTCAGTAAACAACCGAAAAAAACATTCTAGATCCGAATTCCAGGAGGGTAAACTTTCCATGCCACGTCACACTTCAGCAAATTTACACAGATATTATATTGCCTCCCCCTCCTTTATTATTCTTTTTTTTTTTTTTTTGCTAGGATCCCATTGTACTTAACTGAATTTTATAACGCTGATCGATATCTTGGTAAAATATTCATTTTTAAACTAGCGGGCAGTGAAATCTTTGCTTTGTGTGCTAAAGTCAACAGTCGCTCGGTTTGAGCTCAAATAAATGCGGAGATGCCTCGGCTCGGAGCAGTCGGCCGCCTCCCTCCGCGCGCTGGACGCTCTGCCGCCCGCCCGCCGCACCGCAGGTAGGGAGCGCGCCCACTCTGGGGCCATAACCAGGTCCCCTGGGCAGCGTCCGCCCCCCATTCCGGTCCGCGCGCCTCCCCTCCCCCAGCCAGTCCCTTTCCCTTCGAAGGGCTCCAACGCGAGGGGTTGGAAGGTAGGGAGTGGAGAAGCTAAGTCAGTGAAGAAACCTGGAGTTTGGGAGGTGGCCTTTTTTTCGCGGATTTCTGCGAATGCACGGTGTGGGTGGATAAGGGAGCGAAGAGTTGCAAACAGACTCAGTCTGGATTCTGAGCATAGACAGTTTGGTGGGGCCCCGAAGCTACGGGAAGCCAGGTTCCTGCAGCGCCTCTGGGCTGGAGATTCGATCCGACGGCCTTGCGTTTCCTAAGGACAGTGAGAGGGTGGGGGGGGGGGGAACGCCCTTGGCCTCAGAGTCTGGGGTGGGTGCCGCGGAAAACGGCGTGCTGGTACCGGGTGGCTGCGGGGGCAGAGGCCCGAGAGTGGCGAAGCCGTCCCCCCAATCCCTGCGCGTACGGGTTCTAGTCTGGTCTAGGCTTTTGCCCCAAGTCCCTAAATCGGGCAGTAGTGGGGGTCGACGCCATGAGGCCATCAGGGGAGGGACAAGGCCTTCCCAAGAAAGGAGTAAACTTTCGTTCTCGCTGCAAGAAGCGGCGGGTGCCCTTTACGCACAGGCGCGCACCGCTGCAGACAGGTTCGGGAGCCTCGGGTGTTACAAGCGGGACCCCGGGTGGGGGGCAGGCGGAGACAGAAATAAGCCACTAGGCCTTTTATCCTCATTTTCCCAGAAGCTGGCCCGGCGCAGGGGCGCGCTGCGGTGCGGGAGGACGGGAGTTTGGAGGGCAGAACAGAACCAATCGCATCTTTCTGCGCCGGCGGAAAGACGCCGCCTCGGAAAGCTAGAAGTTCCAAAGCTACCAGTTGAAACTGCAGGAACTCCGGGTTTCCAGGACAGGGTATAGGATACTGAAAAGGTGTCTTTCCTCTGGGGTCTACCAGATGTCGCCTGAAATTTGCATTTCCTCTAGGTTGTTTGTTTTAAAGGGCTAGACATCCGGCCTTGTTTGAAGCCCGCGCAGACTTCTAGGTATTTCGCCAAGCAGGGAGACAAGCGCTCTTCCCGTCTGCCCCAGAATCACCAGATCCCGAACACAAAAGGGCAGAAATAGGTCCCTGTGATTGTCAGGGTCAGTTATGTGGGCACTTCTGTGTGGAGAGCACGGGTCCCCCTCCCCGCCTTCCCTGGCGCCCCGGGCCGCGCACCTTTGTCCCCCTCACCCTCGGCGGGCTGGAGAGAGAACCCGCCGAGCTCCAAAGCCACGGTTCCGGCTCGTGGCTGGTTATCTTCCCTAAACAAGATGGAACGCCTGCAGGACATACAACTAGGCTAATCGTTTTTGAATAATTAATGCCTCCCCGTTCCTCTGGTAATGCGCGGCCTCGGATCCGTCAATTACTTGTCATTAGACGAGTGTCGCCCCACGGCCTTCCCTCGGGCCTTTGATGGCGCCCGGTCACCCAGCCCAGCCCACTCACGGCCGAATGAAAAGGTGCCCGGCCTTTGAGAGCCGGGTGCGGAGTAGCAGCGGCCCTCAATTCAGTGCGAGTTTTGAAAGAAAGACCGTCGCTGAAGAGATGTAATCTTCCAAATGGCCAATTTAAACGCCTGATCTTTATCGCCTGCCTTCTCCCGGC